TTGAATGTCGCGATAACTCGTGCAAGATCAAAATTAATCATTTTTGGTAGTAAGTCAACGGTTTCCGCTTCCGAATTGATGCGTCATATAATAGAACACATAGAAATTGCGCAAACGGTGGGTATTCAAGGAAAACTTGAGATTAAATTTTGTGTTAAGATCACATTCAAACTTTAATTTATACATCAAAATAATTTTAGGTGTACAAACTTAAGGATAAGAATGCCCCCTATTGGCACGTCATCCCCAAGATCGATGCAGCTTCAGGAATTATTGAGAATATACCTAAAGTAGATAAACCGCCAAAGCAACATACTAACCTGGGAGTCCCTGAAATATTACTTAGAAACAATCAATTGTTGCGCGGTATTGCGATCGATTTGAATCCGACCTAAATTTTTGATCCATTATTTCCATTAAACTTTTCCGATGAAATGATAAATTTTGACAAGCAATATTTTCTTTTATTTTCAATTAATTCTATGTTTTATATAATTAATAAAATTTTGGTTTCTTTTTAAATTTTAAATTTTTTATGGGTTTAAATTAAAAATTTATGTAGTAACTCAACAATAATATGAGTTATGTGCTTTTTTACCACTAAGTAAAATATGGCATCAATTTATAATTAATTAATATTGAAATTAAAAGATTTTTTTTTTTAATAGTTGACTTATACCTTGTTATTTGTAAATTATAAAATATTATACAATATAGTTTAACATCCTTCAAAAAAATAAAAATTTCAAACTATTCTTTTAAAATCCTATACAAAATTTGGAAACAATGCTTAGCAATTGCTACAACATCAATATTATTAGGAATTAAATAAAAAAAAAACCAAAGCTATCAGTTTTACCAATATCAATCAATTATCTTCAAGCAGTTTTTAAAAAGTTCTTGATATTTTAGAACTTTTTGACAATCTGATTAATAAAAAATATTTATTTTAGCTATAATATTATTGTTTTGAATAGACATTAGATATTTAACACTTATTTATTATTTTTATTTTAAATATTTATAAAATATTATTTACTTAATAATTTAATTTAAAATTTATAAGATATTATATATATAATCTAATTCAAAAATCTTTAAATTTTTTAAAATTTACAATTTTATAAACATTTAATAAAACAATATAATATTTATGACCTATGAGTCTATAGTACAATAGTAGTGCTCCATAAATTACCAGGAGCAGATCTAGGGTTCAAACCCATCTGGTTACAAAAATATATTACAAAAAGTCAATTAAACTATATGAAGATGGGACTTCTGGCCTTTTCAGTAATTATGGGATTGTAATAGATTATAAAAGAAAAGGATTGCATGAAGAAAAGCTTCTGGTCTAATTCTGGTTAAACCCCACAGCCATGTCACACAAACAATAATACATTTGGTACTATAGATTGGGTTGTATATCATATATTAGAAGGAAAAAGATCAATTCTGAAGAGATTATCAATATAGTCACTAACATATGAAAGCATTATAACTAAGAAATATTATATATACTATATAAGAGTTACAACCTGCTTAATATTTATGCTTCTAGATTTAATAACTTAAGCCAATCAAATTTTCTTGAAATATCTATTAAGAGATAAAAAGAGTTGTATTTCACTTGACCCTTTGGTCTCTAGATTTGATAGCTTGTATCAACTAAGAATTATAGTTTCGAAATATTTATTAGAAAGTATATGGATATATCTTATTCTTCTCTAATTCCACTTTTGGAAAATAACTGAAGATATGAAATAAAAGAGATGATCTACAAAATACTAATATGAATTTTAGTTTTAAAACAATCACTATCCTTTAATAATTGAATCAATAGGTTAGATGGTTTAAACTAGTAATAAAACTTTCATCCTCTAGATAGATTTCTCCCAAAAATATGAATCTACTTCAAAAGTATTATTAGTATTACTAAAATAATAAAGTAGAATAGACTAATATTTGGATTGTACTTCTGTTTGTGGGATTCTTTTCATATACAGTTTGTTGTTTATTATTCTCATATAGTAAATTTAAATATCGAATTGATATCAAACTGATATAAAAGTAGATGTCAATGAAAAGAAAAAATTAAACAATATATACTGTATGTGAGTGGATAATTATGGAAAAATACAAATATTTTCTATTAATCTCCTACTTAAACAAAAGTCTCCTCAATATTATCCAAAGAAAAATCAATCAAGTTATCAAGTCTGATTATAAAATCTCTTCCAAATGCTCCAATTCAATCATAATAAGTCTAATATTATAAATGATATTTGATATAATTGTGATATTATATATATATTAATAAATGATTGATATTTAATACCTATTTTATTATAAAAAAATAAAATAATATTTATATATTTTTTATTATATTATAATAATATTATTGAACTAAAAAACTCTTTCCCGAAAATCAAAATTTTCTAAAAATTTCCTTTTTTGGAAATATACAAAAAAATACTCCAAGAAGTACCAAAGGAAGTCTCTTAGGAAAGTCCTACCAAAAGAAACACTCTACTGCCTTCCTCCAAACTAAAGGAGGATATACAACACAGGTATACACTGAGTTTAAA